GTAGGCTCTGGGATTGCATCTGGGTATCTGGGTTTCAGTAGTGTCCCCGCTGTTTAGTTCATTGTGTCTAGGCTGCTGGCACAATGTGGTTGATGTTGAACACTCACTTTGCTTCTTTGAGTCTGGAATTTTGGAATGTGCCAGGGAGGGGGTGCCTGTGTGATCATCTGTGTTAGTTTTCTAATGCTTCCATAGTGGGTGACAAAAACCAGAAATTTGTTTTGCTCACTATTCTGAAGGCTAGAAGTCCAAGATCAAGGCATCAACCGGATTGGTTTCTTCAGAGGGACCAATCAGCTTATAGCAGGCCATCTTCTCCCCTTGTTGCCACATGATCTTCCTTCTGTGTGTGACTGGGTCCTAATTTTCTTTTATTTTTTTCTTTTTATATAACACCAGGCATATTGGGAAAGGACCCACTCCAATGACCTCATTAACATAAATTACTTCTCTAAAGACCTTATGTCCAAATACAGTCATGTCCTGAGATACTGGGGCATAGAACTTCAACATATGAATTTTGAGGGGATGCAATTCAGTCCATAAAACCAGCCACCAAAAATATCTGGGTGCTGGAGAAACCGAGATGGCAGCATAGGTAAATACTTGAAATTGCTGCCTTGCACAACCACTTCAAAAATACAACTAAAAGACAAAACAGACATCATCCAGAACCACAGGAAGGTTCAGGCTGTCATACAAGCACCCTGCAGAGGAACTAACCAAACTACTCAGGAATTCAAGGACATTTTCCTGGAGGAAATGACTTCTCAATTCATATGCAGAAGAATTGTTATTAGTAGATATCCAGGTAAATAGGAAGAGGAAGGTGCTCCAGGTAAGATGAACACTATAGGTGATGAGCCAGGAGTGAGTCAGCATAGGACATAGTTGGTCACATGAGAGAGGTGGAATATATCTGGTAGAAAGGAAGGCAGTTGTGGTAACTGTAGAAAGAAGAAGTTCACGTTAGGATGGTAGGCAGGTATGCACACACCACATCATTAGAAGGAGCTGAGAGATTTGTGAAGTAACATAAGCATGAGACTTTAGCTGGTAAATGGGTTTTAAGCTCAAGAGAGTGAGTAGTTTGTGGGTTGGACCAGGTAACAAATTAGAAAGGAGGGTGACTATTTGAAGTGTGGTTAAGGAATCCAGGTGAGAGATGAGGTTTGCTGACCATGATGTTATCAGCGAGGTTAGAAAAAATAGTAAAATTTGCAAAGAATTTAATACTTGGAAATGTGGAGGGAGTGGCCACGGATGAGGTGTGGAAGGAGAGGACATCTCTGGCTCAGGCATTTTGGTGGGCGGCAAGACACTTTGCTGAGATGTCAGATTTAGCAAAAGACTCAGAACATGCTATTTCCCTGGTGACAAAACATCCAGGAATAGGATCTATGATATGGGACAACATTTTGTCAAGTGATTGGATTGGTATGGACTGTTCTTTCGGCAACAGTGAAGGTCAGTAAGGAGAAAGGATGTCAGAGTGTATAAGAATCCTTGTCTAGGAAAGGAATCCCTTACCCCAGCTCTAGCCCAAGCACAGTTAGCTTGTCCTGCCTGAACTTTGACAAGCTCATTGGTACAACAAGTGAGAGCAGCACACACTGCAGAGGGTCTGCATCCCTCAGAGCCCCAGAGGCTGGGGACTTGGGAGGGACTTCTATGGGCAAGGATGGTGGGGGAAGTTTTTCCTCCTGGTGGGGTGGGGCCTCCCGAGGGAGGAGCCTCCTTGCTCTGTGGCTGCCTTTTTTGTGTGAAGAGCAGCTGGCCATGCAGTGCTGTGATTACCTGCTGGCACAGAGATACAGAGAGGTCTGGTTGATCTTGGCTGACTCCAGGGTCAGTGGGAAATTCCTCTTCTCTGTTCGAGACACCTTGTACCCATCAGAAACCTCTCCCTTTTCAAAATGATCAACATTAATTGAATAATAGATCAGCTTTAGACCCAGCCCTGGGTCTTGTCGATACCAGTACATCGCATCATGGTTCATATTCTGAGAACAAGTCACTGTCAACTTCTTTTTGGTCTCTGTGATGAGGTGTCTTGGGGTCTGGGTCACTTCGGCTTCTGTGGGACCTGTGAGCAGAGGAGACAGAGCTAGAGGTAGCCGAGGAGGGTGCCTGTGCTGTTGCCCCTAGGAAGGGACTCCAGCTAAGACCTGCAAGCTTTGGCCAAGAGTTGCCAAGGTGTTCTGAGACTCACCTGCTCCCAGGAGACAAAGCATGACACAGCCCAGGAGCTGAGGGCCCATGGCAGCGTCACACTGGTGGCTGCCAGCTCTGGGGGCTCTGGTTCGTTTCTAAAATGTCTCCATCTGGCCCTCATTTTCCGGAGAGAAGCCACTCCCCTTTTCTCAGAGCTTTGACATTTAACACAGGCAACCAATACAAGCCAACGTGGGAGGGCAAGCTTGTGGTCACTGTCATTGTCCCTGCTCTGCTTTGAGGCTGCTTGTTTCTAAGCATTTGACAATGTCTTTTATCTGTATGCTTTTGTCAAGCTTGGCAAGTCCTTTCTGTATTGTGCAACTTTATAATGAAAATTGGTATAACATATTGAGTATCACTTAGAAATGTGAATACAGGAGACTCATGCTATTATCAAAGCTGTACTTTCATATGTAGAAATCCTCATTTCTATTCTGCAGAAAAAAATTCCAAGTATCTTCCCATCTTTGTCTATCCACTGATATCTACACTAATAAAAGAGAAACATGCAAATTGACCGTCCCTCCGCTTTGCCCACCAGCCAATCAGAGCAATATGCAAATTAACCCAACAAAGATGGTGGTTAACTTGCACACACAGATATGGAGCGAAGACTGAAGACAGTGTAGAAGGAAGCCAAGCGCTGCAGAAGGGAGCGAAGTGGCGGAGAAGGGAACGGAGCTGAGGCAGCGGACAGGGGAGGGAGCGATGCAGCAGAGACGGGAGGGAGAGAGGCGGCTTTGCTCCCTCTCTGCTTTGCTCTGGCCTCAGGAAGCCCTATACTTGCAGGAATAGGCCCGAGGAAGCCCTATTCTTGCAGGAATCTTCCTGCAACGGGCCTCTAGTATATATATATTTTAACAATTACCTTTTAAAAGAGTCTCATGTGTAGAAACAGAGAAATCCACACGTGGATTAATTTATTGGTCTGTATCCCGTTCAAAATCCTGGACACAGGGCTCTTTCCTCTTCAGCAGATTTGTCTTGGTCATAAGTGCTAACAGCTGCTTTCCTCAGGCCGGAGTTTAGGGAATCTTTCTTCCTTTTCCTCTTCTCTCTCCTTCTCTTGAAGGGGCTGGTGAAAGGCAGAGTTGATGTCTGCCTTCTTTGGGAACCTCACATTTATGCAGCACATTCAGTTCCCCTGTATGCTCGTGGTACTGGCTTTGCTTCGCTGCCTTCTCCCCATGTGGCTCCACATGGAAGGTCTCTGTCCCTGGATGCTGTGTTGCAGCCAGACTACTCTGGATCCAAGTCATGGGGATGCTGCCTGAGGCCGAGGGTGTCACAGCTTCTTTTCTGACTTCCTCCAGCAGCTGCACACATCGCTCCCTTTTCTCCTCACTAAGTCCTTCCTACATTGAGGTGACTTTCCTGGTGTTGCCGAGAATATCTTCCCCCTTGAACAGCTTTGATATTTCCTTGTGCTTTGTTGGAATCAAAGTATTCTTGTTGGGGAGGAAGAAGACAGAGAAGGAGGCTGTCCCATCCCTCCTAATTGCTTCCAACCACAGCTACAGCTTCCCAGAGATTTTCCGTATTTTGCCAGATCATCATCTTCAAGCAAATCTGGGCCCTCATCCCAGCTTGGGGGCTGCCCTCAAATCTCAGAGCTACATTCTTGCCCCCAACAGTTCCTTGTCCATGCCAGTGAGGGAAACGGCTGCTCTCAAGGTATTAACTCTGCTCTAAGAAGGAACATTCTCTCTGTATATTGCTGTACCATTTCTTTCTGGAGAACACTGGCAAATGATCTCGGTTTAGCCTCCATCCTGGGTGTTAGTGTTGTCCTGGCAAGTCCTCCTATACCAGCATCAAATTTTAGCAGAGCTACTTTGAACTCTGTATCTGCTCTATGTAATGGAATCACCTCCCTAAGTGGGGTTAATGCCAGAATGCCTCCTTGCTGGTGAATGCATTGTTCCTCATTACAATTTGGATCACATCCCTGAGGGTTTTTCCTTTGTCTGCATCAACTTTCAATAGGTATTTTGTCACTGAGAACAGATTAGTCTGTCACTTCCCTCGGCTCCATAGACACCAATTAGTGACTTTGTAGAGTCTAAAATTGTCATACTTAAAACTGACATGTTTTGTGCATTACCTGGATTTAACTCCTTAAAAAGAAATTCACCAGAGTCTCTACTTGGTCTGACATTATTCTAAAAACTGAGGATTTACTAGTAATTGCCTCTCTAATTCCTTCTTTTTTCCTAGGTTCTCTGTGTCCAGCAAATGTATTAATCATCCTTCATTCCCCACTTGTGATGGGTACCCATTGGGTGTCCTGGCCCCTAGTTAGAAAAGGCCTCTCTTTGAAACCCTTGATCCATAAGGTCCAAGTGGCAGGTCCCAAGCTGCCATGTTGTTCAAAATAACCCACCCTCTTGGCTAAAAGTGAGTTTTCCAAGAGCATGTTCGTCAGTAAACAGGATCTTTTTTGTTTTGTTTTGTTTTCTAGATTTCTAATCTAGCATGAAAGAAAGTCATGTTGGTCCTTCTCAATGTGGCTGAAGGGCTGACGTCTGAATCTATGATCTTCTACCCACTAGGAGATCTAAGAAAGGGAGAAGACTATTGATAACAAGGAAGAGTATGGGGCCAACAGGGTGGGAAAGAAAGTGTGTTGTCAAATTAGCCTTGTGATGATTCTAGGACTTCCTTCCAGTTTGTTCTTGAGAAATTTCTATGTTCTTGTTTTGGTTCCATGAGATACATATTTAGCCTTGCAACAAATTCCCCTTTGGCATAAGCTGGCTCTAGTTAGCTTTTGTTATTTCCTTTCAAGCTAGTATACCACCAGCTTCCTGAGCTGGGCCCAGCATGAGTTTGTGGACTAAGGTTCACTAATATTTAACACTGTGTGTTCACTGCTGGCACAAAGATACATGGATGAGTCCTGCAGCTCTGTACCGTGGATCTCCAGGATACAGGCTGAGTTCTGGGGACACTCAGCTGAAAATCTCTCCTTGGGCATCTCTGCTTCAAGGACGTTTTTGTACTGAAAGGAAACCAAGAACTTGAACTCTTTCTTCAGGATCTGTTGATACCAGAAAACATAATCGTGCCCCTTTTTGGGGACATAATACATGTTCACATTCTGTCCTTTCCCTTCGATCAGGTGTCCTGGAGTCTGGGTGACTTCTGCAACAATGAAGCCTGTGAAGAAAGCAGACAGAAATTGGTGACTTAGCCCGTGAGGGACTCTGATGACATGGACGGAGGCTTAGAACAGGGAGCTGACAATTTCAGAACAGGGACTGACCTGCACCCAGGAGACAAAGGACCATGGTGCGCATGGCAGAATGAGGACACGAACAGAGTCAGGTGTCTTTCTCTTAGGCTTTCTCGTCCTCCGTAAGCAGCTACTCTGTGACGTGATCACTTCATAGAACCTAATAGTCTTTGTATGAAGATACCAGGAACAGGATCTGCTCCTACTAGATCCATATCTCTATTTTTTTATGTTCACATTCTGTCCTTTCCCTTCGATCAGGTGTACTGTAGTCTGGGTGACTTCTGCAACAATGAAGCCTGTGAAGAAAGCAGACAGAAATTGGTGACTTAGCCCGTGAAGGACTCTGATGACATGGATGGAGGCTTAGAACAGGGAGCTGACAATTTCAGAACAGGGACTGACCTGCACCCAGGAGACAAAGGACCATGGTGCGCATGGCAGAATGAGGACACGAACAGAGTCAGGTGTCTTTCTCTTAGGCTTTCTCGTCCTCCGTAAGCAGCTACTCTGTGATGGGATCACTTCATAGAACCCAATAGTCTTTGTATGAAGATACCACCCCCCCTCCCCCAGCACCCACTCAGAGAGAGCAGGGAATCACTCTCAGAGAAATGGGCCACTGTCCGTGCCCCTCACTCTGGAGCTGGGGTGCAGAGTTCTGTCCATGGTGAGAGGCAGGCCACAGGAGTGCTTGACTTGGACTTAAGGACCTGCCAGGACTTACTGACCTTTTCTTACGATTATACTGCAACCTATGTCCTCCTTTTCTTCCTTCATTGCTCCATTCTTTTCTTTTTTTATTTTTAATTATGTTTTTATTGATTTCGGAGAAGAAGGGAGAAGGAGAGAGAGATAGAAACATCAGTGATGAGAGAGAATCATTGATTGGCTACGTCCTGCATGCCCCCTACTGGGGATAGAGCCCACAATCTGGGCCATGCCCTGACCAGGAATTGAATCATAACTTCCCGGTTCATAGGTCGGTGCTCTATCACTGAGCCACACCAGCCAGGCCTTGTTTTTTTTCCTCCCTTTCTCCTTTCCTCTCTCCTCATGAGGTCAGATTTGCATCTTGGTCTGATGGTTCTCTCAGCCTCCTCAGCTTCCTTCCCATTTTCTCTCATAGGCATTTTCTAACCCAGGCTTGGCATCTAATACTTGGAGGACCTTACTCAATGCATATAGAGCAAACTCTAGGAATTTTAATATATCTGTAATTTTAATATATCTTACAAGGCCCCACATCTAGCTTTTGATATGAGTCCTATCTGTGCCACTTAAATAGTTCATAGATTTACATCAGGCAAAATAGTTAGACGTGTTATGAATAATGCATGCCCCAGACAATACATGTCTCTCAATCTGGAACAAGTTCTCAGAAGTTCTAATTCTCCTTACTTGATAAGAAACCTGTGAGATGGTCTCCACATGCCTACGAGGGCACATTCTTCTCCTTAGGGAGAGGATTCACGGGAGGGGTCTACTTCTTGTCTGGGCCTGCCCTTTAACATATTGCTAAGTCTCCAACTTAGATTAAAAAACAACAACAATAACAATGTCACTATTTTTCTACTGAAGAGAACAGAATGGGTGATTAAAGTGATCGTGGGAAAACACCACAATCTGAATGTCAGGTGAGGATAACCACCTATCCACTCTTGGTTTAACTGTCAATGGTTTTTGTAGGTTTAGGCCCAGCTTCCAACTGCAAAGGAGATAATGACAGCCATAAACCCACTTCCTATTGCTGTTGTGTGTGTGTGTGTGTGTGTGTGTGTGTGTGTGTGTGTGTGTGGCGGGGGGCGGGGGGTGTCTAGAGAGGGCTCTTGGATCTGGAAACAGGTTTATGAGCAGAGAGGAGGTAATGCTCTAGCTCTGTGTACTTGCTGCTGGCACAGAGATACACTGCGGAGTCCCCCAAGCCTGGTGAGTGGATACCCAGAGAACAGAAGGAAGTATTAGGCCGGCTGGGTTGGAAGTTGTCCGAGGTGTCTGTTTCATTGTTAAATTGCTTATCATAGTAGTAGAACAGCAGCTTTGGGGCTTGGCTCAGCTTCTGTTGGTACCAGTACATGACATCATGATTTAGGTCCTGAGAGCAATTCAGGGTCACTGGTTTTCCCATCCTGGTAACCTGGTATCTTGGGTTCTGGGTGACCATGGCACCCATGTAACCTGCAGAAAAAGAAGAAACATGTAGAGACAAGAAGGAAACTCATGTTGCTGCCATAAAAGAAAGGCACAAAACTGAGGACATCATAGCTTTAATAAAAACTGTGCTTCTGACCAGGACTCACCTACTCCAAGGAGACAAAGGGCCACACAGTGGAGAAGCCTGGGACCCATGGCAGGGCCAGAACAGGAATGGGGCATCTGTCTGTTCCACTCTGATCTCTGGGTTGAGAGGTGGGAGCTCTGAGAGTCCATGGTCTCTGATAGGTCGGTCTACCTGTGATGGCAGTGCTGGTGTTGACGTCACCAAGGAAGGGTCCCTTCTTGTGATATTATGCACAGCTTCCTACTTGGCAGGGGCCTGGGCTTGGCTGGGTCAGGTATGAAGCAAATGTGATGTTTTCTTATCTGTCCTGCTTCCAATATCTGCCCCATGTTCATCCGTCTCCATCTCATTCCTCCTTACTAACATCCTAAAAGCAGTTCAGAGGTTCCTCAACACATGAATAGCTTTTGCTCCAGTCTAGCTGATAAACCTATTGAGATAATGTCTTTATTTTATTATCCACTTCATTGATGAATGAAAGATATCTGCCAACCATCCCTACTTTAATATAGAAATCAAGCTCTGGAATTCCTCTATCTTTATCCACTTTTCAGAGCATATCAAAGAAATCCTCTACAGCTTTTGGCTATGGTGACACCATAATGCCTCCTTGTGGCCAGTAGAAAAGTTTCTCGAACAGCCTTCCTGCATTGCCCAAATATCTGAGCAATTAGGTGAGACACACGAGGGCTTAAACATGTATGTAGTCCCTGATATATATATATGTAATTTATTGAGGTGATATTGTTCTGCTCCTACTAGATCCATATCCCTCAGACCAAGCACAACACCAGGGTACTGGCAAGCCTCACTAAAAATAACATGCTAACATCCTAAAAGCAGTTCAGAGGTTCCTCAACACATGAATAGCTTTTGCTCCAGATAATGTCTTTATTTTATTATCCACATCATTGATGAATGAAAGGTATCTGCCAACCAGCCCCACCTTAATATAGAAATCAAGTTCTGGAATTCCTCTATCTTTATCCACTTTTCAGAGCATATCAAGGAAATCCTCTACAACTTTTGGCTATGGTGACACCATAATGCCTCCTTGTGGCCAGTAGAAAAGTTTCTCGAACAGCCTTCCTGCATTGCCCAAATATCTGAGCAATTAGGTGAGACACACGAGGGCTTAAACATGTATGTAGTCCCTGATATATATATATGTAATTTATTGAGGTGATATTGTTCTGCTCCTACTAGATCCATATCCCTCAGACCAAGGACAACACCAGGGTACTGGCAAGCCTCATAAAAATAACACGGCCCTGCCAAAACCGGTTTGGCTCAGTGGATAGAGCATCGGCCTGCTGACTGAAAGGTCCCGGGTTCGATTCCGGTCAAGGGCATGTACCTTGGTTGCGGGCACATCCCCAGTGGAAGATGTGCAGGAGGCAGCTGATCGATGTTTCTAACTCTCTATCTCTCTCCCTTCCTCTCTGTAAAAAATCAATAAAATATATTTTTAAAAAAATAACACTGCCCTATTGTGACAACTGGAATTGACCTCAAAAATGTTGGTTAACACATATTTACATATCATGCTAACCCATGTTTTTTCCATTAAAAAATCAGACCCCATGGAGAAAGGAAAATTAGCTTTAATCTATAGTCAGTGACCTGGCTGTTCCACTCAAATCTGAAATTTAAAAAAAGTATTTGGAAATGGATTTGTGCAGGACAAATGTAACCTAAACTTAGCGCCATTGCCAGCACTATTAGGGAGCAACCTAAAAACCAGCAATAAATGAGATTTGATTCACAATTTTTATTTCACTAGGGAAACATTTAAATTATGATAAGTAGGAATATGACAATATGGCCACAGAGTCACAATTTCTTTCAGTTCAGAACAGCAAGTTGGGCAAGAATTACACCAGGGTAACTCATACACACTTAAGAAACAGAAATGATAGTCTGAGGTCTGTGTGAGGAGCCCCAGACATGCCCCAGATCACAAATGTATCACAAATATTCTTGTATTTCTAGAGTTAATTCTGGTTCTTCCTCTCCTCTCCTCCGCTCAGGGGAAGACTTCTGCTGAGGGTGGGGAGAGGGTGCAGTTTTGCACAGGAAGGGCCTGACCCTGAAGCACTGGGTTGAGGCTGCTGGCACAGAAATAAACTCTGGAGTCCTCTGGCCATGCAGGCTGGACCTTCAGGGTAGAAAATGTCCCTTCGGTCCTGTCCACTGAGAACCGATTGCCAGGCATCCCTGATTTGTCCATACATACTCTCGCAGGAAGCGGACCAGAAATGTCATTTCTTTCCCTATGGCATGTTGGTACCATAAAAGAGTCTCATGTCCAGAAATTGGGTCGCATCTCAGAGTCACAGCTTATTCCTTCCATATAACTCTGTGGCTGGGAAACTGAGTGATTCCAGCAGATGTGTATCCTGTGGGAAAAGACAGGAATATAGAAAACATGACAAGAGTGGACTGGGCAAAGGCAAAGTGGAGATATTCAAACATACAAGGACTTACTTGCTCCCAGGAGACAAAGGCACACTAAACTGAGAAGCCTGTACCCTACGGCAGGATCCAAATACAAGTAAGAACTTTTCCCGATGACAGAACTTGTAAGTATGAGCAAAAATGAGAGCAAATCTGTGTCCCCTTGGCGCTATAAGGTGTGTCCTGGCAATGACATCACCATACCAGCCAATGCCTATTGTCTCAGGAGCGCCCTCTAGGGAAGAAGAAGCATAGAAGGAAGAGCAAAGTTTCTCTGAACAAGTTTATCCTTTGAGGGGGATGAAGAACCAATGCCA